CTCGGAGTGCGATACCTTTTTATTTGACGTTTGTGGTTCGGCATGTAAAAGGGATGTTTTTTTTTTTCATAGAGCGATCCTCATAACGGCCCATATACCAGCCTTCGATTGCCTCGTGAGTATTTTTTTTTTAATGGTAAGCCAAGAGGAAAAACCATACAGAGAATTTTAACTCTCGAGGTAAAAGGAAGGGAGAGAGAAATGGAGTGTAAAGCACGCGTGTTTCCATACATACTTTTCACCATCGTCAAAAAGAGCACTGCACGCACTCCCGACCGAGTCGTGAATATCGGATTTCCCCCCATGCATCGATACTTATATAGGTACAAGTACTTTTGATACCACAATGTTATACACATAACGAGCGAGAAAAATCGAAACGCGTTGCACGCATCGTGTACACATTAGCCGCGCGCCTTACACGCACTCGCATGTATTTTTATTTCATTTTATTTTTTATTTTTTAGTATAGGTACTCTCGCGTGCCTCGAAACACGGAGTATCATTTGCCTACCCTTTTTTTTTTCCTCTCTTGGGAAAGCGAAAAAAGAAAGATGTTCATTCCCGGAATGCTGGTGGTGGTAGCCTCCCATATCTTTACCTGCATGACAGTTACAATAATATACTGCACGCGCGCGCGTTGTAAAACACATTTTATGCATAGGTATACCCGACACATATGTTGCAACATCGATCCCATACATGCATATATTATGTACAAAGACCCTGGCCTTCGAGCATCCCCGTGCACACATATATATATATATGATAAACGTGCTTGTAGATTGTACGCGTTGAAGTTCAGGATGTGAAAAGGGAGTGAATCGTGAGGAGAGAACATTACGTGTCGATATACCTGTTTTACGTGTGAAAATGTAAGTAGCAAAGACGAAAAAATCGGGACTGAAGAGCAACAAACAAAGTATTGAGACAAGAGGGTGAAAACCGGAGCGAATCTCTGCCCTCGTTTTCTCGATATGCAGTGTTATACAAAACACTCGTCGCTCCCGTAGTGCGCGAGACGAGCGAAACAAATAGTTACGTAAGTGTGTGCTATGCCGATGCAAAGCCGATCTTCATCTCTCGGACCTGCTTTCAATTATACACTTGCCCCCGCCGTGATAAGTTATACTCGTATACACTCATCGTTTTATATCCCAAATAGAGATTCTTCTTCTTCTTGTCCTCTCTCTCCAAATGAACTTACCACGCCCGAAGGATAATTCCAAACATAATCAGTTATAAGGCCAAATCGAGGCCATACATACGTATTACTTACATAAGCACGTGCGCGCTAATGATAAATCGGTAATCGCACCTCAGCCACACGCGTGCACCGATAGTTGGACGACCCCCACCCGCACCTATGCTCATTTCCCATGTAAGCGCGATGTATCGGCAATTTTCCTTGGCTTCATTACCACTGCCTTATACGTATAGCCGGTATATAATACCATAGATTTCATGCAGGCGCACATATATTATATACATCGCTAATTTCAAATTCAAATCGAAAAAGAGAGGGAGAAAAGAGGCTACAAACGCACACTTCTCACGATGAATCTCAAATGCTTCGCGGATATAACGTGTGTATGTGTGTATACATAGTATATATATATAGAGGAAGAGGAGGAATGATAAAATGAAAAATAAGAAGAAGAAGCTCCGGTGCAGCTACTTACTTGTATCACTTCCGACAGGTACCTAATGTAAATTTCAGGGGAGAGGCTTGGGAGCGTTAATTATTTCATTAACGCGCGGCGCATTTATCTCTCGCGGTATGTTATATAGATGCTGTATACACAGGCGTGCCTAGGCTTTTGTTCATATACATATATTATAAACGTAGTGGATGGGGTTGGAGAGAAGAATGCGATGTGTTCCACGTGTTTTGTTTACCCATAGTTTGTATCTTATATACCTATAATAAGAGAGACGTTAGGCAATCAAGTGATGGTGTATACATATATATACAAACACTTTTCGATCGTTTCCGAGTGTACCGTTTTTTTTTTTTTTTCTCTTCCTTACCTCGCGATGAGAGGGGGCATTCCGTCCCGTTATGGGCACGGATCGGTATTAGAATGGCAAATCATCCTAGAGTATAGAGTCGTTAGAGCGAAGATCGGTATACATATAGGTGTATGGTTTGTTTTTACTCGTATTAAGTTTAAATTCCGAGACATTCGTTACAGTTGAACGACGTTATACCGTCGAAACTTTTTACGCTCGATCATCCGTAGGTTTTTCCGTGCAGCCCCGATGTACTTATATATTTTTCTACCGATTCCGCGGGCAAGTAGTCGATAATCGGCACTGCCGGTGTCCCTTATTATTGTAGGTGGATATATTATACACACCGGTAGCTTCCGTGCACGTTTTCCAGCTCAATAAGTGAGCAATTTGTATACGCAATATAACGCGCTCGTCTAACTGTACGTGTAAACCTCACCTATAAATGCGCACGCCTAGAGATGCACGCCGCGTGGAATTTAAAACTTGGGCAGGTCATGATTATTTACAGCTACGCACTACTGGCAGGCAAATCTACCCTATATGTATATAGAACGACCGCATGTGCGCGGTACCTATGAAGCGCGTCGCTTTGCACGAAACGCAAACTCGCTGCAGCCGATGCAACCTGTGGTGCTTGATTTTTCCGCAAAAGCTGCATGGACGAAGAAGAAGAAGAAGAAGCGGAAGCGTGTATGTATATGAGAGAGAGAGAGGAAAAAGGCCGGGCAAACGTCTGCGCAGTCACCGTTACCGGTCTCTTCTGATCAGAGGCCGCTCTCTCGCGTGCCCGGCTTGTGTACTCCATAAATCTGTTGGAGGGACGTTCACGGTGGTGCCAACCCGGCTGATGGAGAATCGTGCGGAACTTTTGCGCCCGTGCATTTTTGCAACGATGGAAGAGCTATATGTGCGCGATTTTTTCTTCATTTCGCTCTATAAATGAGGCGATATATATAATATAGTTCTGCTCGTTGGGTGATTGACTACGCGAGCGAATTGGTTTTTTATAAAGAAGCAGGTGTGACGCGCTCGGCTTCACAATACCGATTTTTTTTGTCTTTTTTCTATGCTTTGACGTTTGATGATCGCACACTTACGCGAGCCATCTGGTCACTGAAAGCATCCTTGACCACTCGGCAATACAACGTTCCCAACTTCTTTAATCCCATGGAATAATAAACTCCATAAACTAATTTAAGGGTGAACAAACCTGCTTTGATATACCGATTCTCAAGATCGGCACCACCTCCGCTTTATGCTTCATACACACACGTGGGTGCAGTATAGATCTTTTCTTCTGTTTTATTTTATTTTATTTTTTTCTTCATTTCACCTTGAAACGTTTACGTACAGCTTATGTCTCTCAAAGCCGCTGCGCTGCGTTTTATTTCCGCTTCCATGACTCGCGATTGTTCAAAGTGCAATGTATGTAGATTTTTTCTTTTTTTTTTCCTTTCCCATCACTTTACGGTAATTCCAAAGCAAGTGTGAAAAAGTCTCAGAGAGAGGGAGAGAGATCGTCATCTCCTGGCTGCTTCTGCTGCTGATGGTTACGCGAGCGAAGAGTAATTCATATACAAATTGTATTGAAATTGCACGAGAGGTCGGATAGGGCGAGAGAGAAAAATAGATACGCGCGTATGATGACTGTGGAAGTATTCGCGGGTAACGTTGTTACATCATGCACTGGGAATTTTTTGATAGCATATTTCAAGGCAACAGACCATTAAAAATCATTTATACATATATAATCTCGTTCAATCCATAACCACGTGTATTTTGTCCCTCATTCTCCATTGCAAGTCGTTTCTCCTTGCCGATTTCCATACCGATCCTTTCTTTTGCTTCCTTCCCTTGCAAGCTCGCACTCGCCCAACGACTTATTTACATGGGCCCCGCCATATACGCACAATCAACCGCAACTACGTGAATCACACATGTATACGCATACACGCATACCTACAAAAGCCACATCAAAGGCCCACATCACCCGTGTGTAAGCGTGTACACCTAATTTTACTCTCGTGCGTCCACGAGATCTTAGGACGCAGTTTCATTTCCGCGCCGCAAAAAAAAAACAAAAAACAAAAAAAAAAAAAACACTCCCAACGAGTCGTGCGCATCAAGTGCGTGTGGAACTGTTGAACGCGCGCGTGCCCAGCGTCTGTACCCGCATAAATCCCCGCGTGGAATAATGATTATTCTGTACTCTGGAGAGGAACGAACCGAGGGGTGTGTGTGTGCGCGCGTACATTTACGTACACGCCAGAGAGCGCGAGCCCATTATCTTAATGACCAAAGGGAAGGGTTGTAAACCGGGAAGGGGGGTATAGAATCAGCCTGGATGTGGTGGTGCTTTTTCGAATCAAGGATGATGGAGCTTTCGAGTCCCCTCTGACTTCATAGACCCACGCGCGCGTGGCGAATCGAGCTGCTTGTGGGTTTTTCGAAATTAAACCTCATCATGTCGCGCGTAATCGCTTTGGAAAAACGTTTTCACGCTACGAAGGCGAAATAGAAACGCTTCCCTCTTCTTCTTCTTCTTCTTCTTCTTCTTCTTCGGGTGCTTTGTAAAATACGCGCACTTTATACGGCTATGGGCTCTTTTTTTCTCCGATCCCGTGTACGTAAGGTATATAATTATGTAACGTAACAAACTGACAATGCACACTGCACGTCACACTCCGCGGCGATGGAGGAAGGATATACACATCTTTAAAAGTAAAACCCGCGCGGTCGTGGTTGGAGAGAAGGCTAGAAACGAAGGCTTTTCTGTAGAAAAATATGAAAAATATTATTTTAAATCGTCATCCGCAGTCCCGTCCGCTGCATAAACTATGTATAAACGTACGCAATTGCAAAGAGAGCAAAATCTTTGCTTTTTGCTCTGCTTCTCACCGATCAATCATTTTAACCATTTATTGTACAGACATAGCCATAAACACATATATACTTGTGTTTCGATAGATTACGGTTCGCGTTCCCTATTCCAAGAGCGACCCGTCCATCGGTCCTCGGACATACTCGGAGATGATCTGCAAAAAAGTTCACCATATTAGTATATTATGTGAATCACCCACGTGTGTGGATCCATAGATGAAAATATAACAGACCTTGCACTTGTTGAGCGAAGTAGCCCCCACGCCGATGGCGAGGTAGATAATCAGGTACAAGCAGAACAGCAAGTAAAACACCGCGACCACCACAACCACCAGTACCCCGAGTCCCGTCAGGTCGGCCAGGACCATCGTGTAGACCAAGTACACGTTGATGCCGATAACGGCCAGCGAAAGCGTCGTGGCTGCCACATTGTTGAACCTGAAATCCAACGTTTCGTTCCGAAAAACACACATACCCGCCTCCGACAATCCAAAAGCTGGATGTATACACTTACAGCCCGTTCTTGTACTCCCCCATGATCCTCGAGTTGCCGGTGAAGGCTATAACGGGCAGGGCGGCGAAGGGCAGCTGGAGGCTCATCAGGACGTTCAGAACGTCGTTGAAGTAGGTGATGGCTTCGACGTTCGTGTAAAAGGCCACGAGGAAGGTCGGCAAAATGGCCACGGACCTGGTGAGGAGGACGCGCCTCCAGCGGGGCCAGTGGAGGTTGAGGAAGCCCTCCATGGCAAACTGGCCGGCGTAGGTTCCCGTCATCGTCGACGACTGGCCCGAGGCAAGGAGGCCCACTGCCCAAACGAGCATGGCCTGGATCCCGAACCTACAGCCCAGGTAGACCCCACCGTTGTACAAGTCCGCGCTCACCGGCTTGGTGTTGTTCTGTACGAATGACGAAAGATAAGATACATCATCGGGGAAGAGCTCTTGATGCAATATTGTTATTATGCCTACCGGAAATACGTTGGTGCCTAGGGTGAAGTTGTGGCTCGCACACACCTGGAACTGTGCGACCGTGCATTGGTTTAGGGTAACATATTATACATATACTATTGGAACAAAGGGAGGTGACGTGTGTATGCATGTATACTCACGACGTCGGAATTGGTCCTTTGGAAGAGGCCTTGGGCGAAAACGGACATGACAAACAGGTTGATGAAGAACGATATTGACAGGGCGATGGCAGCTTCCACGAAAAAGTACCTGTTGGCCTCCCTGACTCGACGGGGTTCCCTCCGGTCGATCTCTCGAGACTATAATTATATACAATGACACAAATGGCCCCCGGTGCTTGTTTTGGTTTCCAGAGGAGACGTTTTGCGCAAAGGACACTACATAATGTGTACACACTTACTTTGACGAGGGCACTGTGCAGGTGGAGATTGTGCGGCTGTACGTTAGCACCGATGATACCGACGGCCTGTAGCAGGACACGTTTGTCGCAGCCCTCGCACCAGGGTACCACCAGTCCCTTGACCACTTTGCCGGTAGGGGGTGCCGACACTGCGTACTTTTGTAACGTCGAATCCGGCCGTGAGAATCGATTTTCGAAAGGATGTGCACGTAAAACCTTACCTCATAGCCGAACATCACGGCCATGACGGTGATGAAAAATCCAAACAGTAGCTCGAGCTTTCTGAGCCCGTACTTGTCGAGAAGGAGAAAGGTAAAGGTGTCCAAAATCGTTATCAGCACGCCCGCCCACAGGGGTAACCTGAGATACATGTATTTTTTTATTATCGTTAAAAAAATGAAGTAAGTTGAAAATAGATGATCGTGAGCCACCCACGCTTTACTGGACAAGAGGTAAATGGCGATGGCGGTTCCAATGACTTCCTGCATGTCGCTGCCAATGATGGCGATCTCGGTCATGATCCACAGGAGTATCCTTGGCGCTGTCCTGAACTGCCGATGGCACATCTCCGCCAGATGGAGGCCGGTAACGACGCCGAGGCGCGCGCTCAACCTCTGCATGAGCAGTCCGAGGAGGGTCGCGCCCGACAAGACCCACAACAGCTGCAATTGCGAAATTGTTGTACATAAACTGATTTACCAGTTGTCGTGGGGTCGAGGAGCCGTTTCGTTGGCTCGTTTACCTTGTAACTGGCTATGGTCCCGGCTTGCAGGTCGGACTCCACGTTCCCGGGGTCCAGGAAGGCTATGGACATGAGGAAACCCGGTCCCGTGAAGGCCCAAAATTTCCTGAAGCTGAAGCCCGTGCTCTGGAACCATACGTGAATACGTTTGAAAACAAATTTGTGCCATATTTCGTTTTGTTCATAAAAAGTATACAATAACTTACGTGCACGTCATTGTCCGGTATCTGAATCCTCTGGTCGGAAAAGTAAGTGTCGACCGGTTCGTTTCGATCGGCCTCGGCGCCGGACACGTCATTGGCGGTGCAATCGTCACCGTCTTCTCTCGCAACACCGGGACCATTGGCGGCATCGGCCACTCGATCAGCACCGAAATACCGATCGCCATCGCTGGTATCGTTCGCACCATCAGCGCACCTCGTCTCGGGTGCAGCTAAGGTCGTGGCAACGTCGATGACCAATGGCATCGCCGAATCATCGCCGTACAGCAACGAAAGGAGATCCCGCTCTTGTTTTTTCATGCTGGTCAGCTTCTCGACCATCTCACGTTCGCGCTGGTGATACGCGATACCCAAGCTGAAAGCCATCGCGTTTCGGGATGTTGTAAACACCCGTCGTCAGCTCGAAACAATCTTGTGATGTGTTCTACGAGAATCGTACATTAGGTACATTCAACTGTTAAACAATAATTATCAACCGCACAGTAAGTATATTAACATCACTTACTTGTAGCTTATTTACCCAAAGAATGATAAATTCCGATCGTTTCCACTCGCTCGTTGGCGCGCAACTAACCGTCTACTCTTATCTCGATATCGCGTGGGCTCGTGCCTGGCAATTAAGAGCTACTTAACGCATTTGTTATCACCACAGAGTTGTTTCTGGGTACATACTCTTTTCGATGTACAAAGTGTGTTGTTTTCGAAAATAAGGTGAATCAGCGGCTACACAGTGCCGCCGACGGCAGCCGCGGCAAAGAACGACTGAACGTACAATGTAATTTCTCAGCCTTTGCTATACCCCCCCCCCTTTCCTCTTGCAGTGCCGGCGATCGTGATGTGTGTATCTTTGTTTCGGTTGATAATGCAACGAGCAGTAGGAGAGAGGAAATATACATTGAATATAGCCACCGATGCCGGCTGAGATACACAGCACGTGTGAGTAATGCAATATTCCCGTCAGTGCATAGAGTGGCCATTTAGTGTATATACTCTTACCGATCTTCGGCATACCTGAGCGTCATTTTTATTGTCATCTAATTACGTGTGTATGCACCACTTGGAGTGAAGTTTTCAAATAAATGATCGATATACAAATCAGAGATGATGATGCATGTGTACCTATATGTAGTGCGTACGTGCTTAACGAGCGATCGGTCGACGATGAAAATAGATTGAGAAAGCTTCCAGTTGCACACACTTTGCTCGTTAACTGCAATGTACGGGGGGTAAGAATAATTAAGCTGGACGAGGAAAACCGAGAGCGCGTTAAATGAAACAAAATGTTATAACGCAGCCGCGATAAGATTTCCGCTTGGCCATCCCAATGGTGAACGTCATTGGAAACCCATTGCGGTACGAGCGAGATGATAAAAGTTGGAATTGTTGTCATACCGATCTGACATGTATAGGTGCAGTGTATATATAACTTACGGAGCACGAATTCAATGATTCCCCTCCCTCTCTGTCGGCTACAGCCAAAACAAAATGAAGAGATGCGCATGCGAGCGGTTTTCAGACATACCGATCTCCGACTGGGGCTAATTACACGCGAAGAGAGATTCTCCCGAAGCGCGCACGAGGTAACGAACAAAAAGGGGGGATGTACGCGCACATCGACGCATCAGGAACACTGGTGGCCGCGGCTGACCGGCTTTGCCGATTTTCTGCTTCTTGCTGTATGCACCTTCCTCCTCCTCCTCCTCTTCGTACATATACTTCCCAGTATAGGGGGAAACGACGACGGGATTGATCTGTGGAGGTTGATGAGTGTATGCTTGTGCGATCGGTTTCGTCGATTGTTAAACCTGTACAAGATCGTGTGACGATTTTACCCGAAAAAGATTGGAAATCAGACAACAGATTATATACTTGGGGAGGAGAAAAATCGAGCCCCAATCGATTCATCAGAGACATATCGAGGTCGATACGAGACCACCGTAGCAACAGGTGCACAGAAACAGCCGTATGGGTACGGATCCTTTTGGCGCAGCAACAACATCATACCGGGACGAAATATAAAACCAAAACCAGCTCCTATAAGCTTCTTCTTCTTCTCTGCTCTTCTTTGCTCTCCCTCCCCAAATAGCTCTCTTACACGACATAATATGCCAACGCAATGAAAAGGGAGAGAGAAAGAGTCGCGCATTTTGCGTACAGATCATCACTGCATCAGGAGGTAAGATATGAAATCTGTAACGAAAGTGCTCCACATGGTACGGGTGCACGGGTATATATGAATAAGAAGAGGGAACGTCTTCTCGGTGCAGATGCATATGTATACATGCAAGAGGAGGAGAGAGATAGAGAAGACGTTAGTTCGCGTGGTAGATGGAGGGACAAAGAAGGAGAGCGCCGAGGCAGTCGAAGCCCTCGATCGGCCTTGAGGGGGATCTTTGCACCCTACAGGTATACATTACACCGCGAGACACGACGCATCTTCTTCTTCCTCTTATATTCTCGGTGAGTTGTTTCTTGCTCTGAATCTACGCTGTTTCATTATTTCTTCTTCTCTCTGCTGGTGAAGGACGTTGTCCGCAAAGGTTTATATTTATATATACACACCGGGTTGAGTTTTCCGAATGACCGGTTGATCGGTTGTGCGTACAAGCACGTACTCCTGCACTCGAGACCGTTACGCGAGTGGGTGTACCCAAGCGTTTTGCACAAGATTTTCCAAACACATACAATACGTTCGAATAAGAATTTGGGTTATTGCTTACCGATCGGGTTCGTGGGCTCATTCCATACTTTCCAGCAGATTTCGTTTGATCGGTATGACGTCGAAGATGATATACGCGAAGCCAAACTTTTTATTTAATCTTTTGTTGCAAAAACCAAAATAAGCGTACGTAAATCAGTGTAAACCCCCTCCCCCTCCGGTTCAATTTTCACAAGCCGATTTTTACGGTCCATCCTCTCGCAACCCACGTCAATTTTTTTCGAACATCCAAACACGCAAAAGTAATCGACATACTTGTATACGACGAGACCGACGATTGTGTACACTAATATACACCTGTCGGGACTTCTCTCGAAATATAATGAATTATGCAGAATCTTCGTTGTTGATTGCATGTTCAGCGGCACTTTGTCGGGTACCCATATGTATATTATATTATATATATATATGTACGCGCAGAGTTGAAAAGTTGCTCGGTGAGTTTTTTTTTTGTGTTAATTTCCACCAGATGGAAGGTTTCGATGCACCATGCACCAACAATCGGACCACGAATTTTACGTACATTTTTTTATACCTTTTGCACCAAGTATTACACATGGGGAAGGTTGAAAAAGGGTTTTATGACCCCTCTCCCCGTATTACACCAAACACAAATGGAAAAGATAATCAGGTAATTCGCATATCTACTCATAAAAATGGCACATATTTTATACCTTTACCCCTCCCCACACGAACAACACAATAATCTAATTACGTGAGTATATTTGGGATTTGTATAAGAGGTATACAACCAACCCCGACCCCACGGTCTTGCAAGTTCTCGGAAAGAAAAAAAAGGTCGCGTCCTAACGAAGCGGATCCTCTTCCTTGCTTGGTTTGCTCACGACTTGTTGGGTAGAGAAAAAGAAGAAAAAAATGCGTTCACTATTCCATTACGTCCATACACCTGCAGTATATGGGTATACACACCGCACTTACAAGATATGGTAAAGTGTAGGTAGGTACACATATAATTATGTGTATGTCCATATCTACACACGGAGAGGAAATTGCATGCGCGAAACTCGCCCTATCCTCGGTGGAAGAGATACTATCGGTTTATTAGCTAATAGTGCACGCTGTACATAGGCAAAGCGTGTATACAAAAGGCAAAATGTCGTTGCTGTAAGGGAAACGACGATAATTCGTTTGAGGGGGTTGTTTTTCCAGAAAAAGCCCGGATAAATCGGTATCGGCCATTGTCTATATGAAGCGAGGACTACGTGTATCTTTGCCATTTTTAAATCGAAAAAAAAAAAAAAAAAAAAACAATTATTTTCAAGTAAATTTTACCATATCAACCAGATGTCAACCAGTGTAGCATCTTTTCAAAGCATCATATGTACTTACGGAACCCTCGTATACCTAGTAGAACATAATAATAAGGCCTTAAGTCGCGAATGCAAATTCATCACTATGCACGCGAGTAAGTACACGTCTATGCCTGTACGTACAAGCGCACGACAAATATCCTCTTCAATAAAAAAGAATCGGTAAATATATGGAAGAATCACGAGGGTATAGTGATAATTACAATAACGTCACTCCCTGGCCCCCACACTTTGCGCAGAGTCCCAGGACGTTGCGGATGAATTACAAAGTCCATAACTCCACCAACTATTATATAGTCTGAAAAAAATTGAATATACGCCGTTTATGATGTTATCTTGTAAGGACTCTCAAATAAAAATGTAAATAAACTACAGCACTGACTTTCCACGGGCTCCTTTGGGTCGCATCAAGCAGATCCTTTTTCAATGACTGGTGTTGAAGATCCGCGGCTGACGGTTTCAGTTCGACATTTCCGGAATTTTCCGAGACGAATTCGTAGACTTTATACAAATATCCAAAACCTTCTAGTAATTTTTCTATTTGAGCATTGGAGATGGAAAATACCATGCTCGATAATAGTAACTTTTAAAAAATGGCGATTTACCCCACATTTTTAATGCCAAGTAAATTATCCCCCTAAAAATTGGAACCTTTTACAAGCAATAAATATATTTTAATTTTTATACAATTAATCACAAAAAAAAGTGCGATTGACTATGGGTAACATCATGTATACAAATCACGTATTAAATAATCAGATTGTTTGATGAGACTTGAAAGAGTTTCTTCGTTGTATTTGCAACACCGCACAGCGTATATTGTCAATTCATAAAGTATCTACTAAAATTTAAATGATTTATCTTATTTTTAGTTTCAGTTTCGTCAAATTCGGTTATTTCTTTGAATTTTTTTTTTCACAACGTGACCCAAATGAGACTTTGAAATATCACGTACGTAAAAATCTTATAGCAGTTGAAGTTTGATTTTGCTACCCTCAATATTTCAGATTTTAGGTTGATGGTTTTTTAAATGATTACTTTGAATGAAAAATAAATTTTGTAAAACTAAAATCGAGTCAAAGTACAAATTATATACTCACAGACCCACACACAATATACGTCATTTGGCATACACCATTTGGTTAGAAAGATAAAAGATGAAATCAATCATAAAGTGAAAAACATGTTTTTTGAATGAATTGTTAACGTCATGAAATGATGTCTAAAAAGAAAATTTATTCCATCACGACGAAATTACCTCAGGAAATAGTTTTACTAGGTGTACAGCAACTATAGTTTTATACCCTTTTTTATAA